CTTGTTCCCTAGTCAAGAAATGTGACTTCCACTTGCATTATCACTACAAGTCACTTACTTGTGTCTTGAACAGGTCATTTCACTTTCTCTGAACCTCAGTTTCTTCTTCTGTAAAATGAAGGTAATCATCCCTGCTACCTACAGAGAGGCTCACTCTCTACCTAAGACACTACAAGTAAAATATATTGTTGGTCATTTTCTTGTACTGCGTTATTTCTCAGGCTGTCTAAAGCCTTATTAGTATATTGAGAATGACATTTTACAAAGCATAGTCATCCCAAAGAGCCCACTAGTTTTTAGAAAGCAGCCCATTCAAATATTTGCCTGCGTTCTAGTGTAATTTTTTATTCGCTTTCTACCCAAAGTTGACACCTGTAGGCCTTCCGTATTTGTGTGTGATAAGTTCATAAAGTAGTCATGAAACCAGCTGTTAGTTGCATTAGTGGTCCAACATACCAACAACACAAGTGCATATGAGTACCAAACAACATAAAATGATATTCATGAAGCTTTATTCATAACAGGCAAATATCCATCATCAGTAGAATTAATAAATTAATCGTAGAATATTAAAGACTGAACTATTGCTACATTCCACAACATGGATGAATCTCAGAGACATTAAAAATGTGTAAAAGAAACCACTCACAAAAGTATATGTACTGTATAATTTCATTTACATAGAGTTCAAACAACAAGCAAAACTAATCCTTGGTGATAGAAATCAGAATAGTGGTCACCTTTGGGAACAAGGTACTGACTTTGAGACTAGGAATGTTCTAAAGTGTGATCTCGGTTGTAGTTATATGGGTACATTCATTTATAAAAATGGATTAAACTTTACTATATCTATTGTCATTAAAAAAGTAAACTTCTTTTTAAAAAAGGTCCAACAGAGACTATCAGAGGAACTTCTGTGGCTGAGTAGCTAATTTTTAGCATAAATTCTTATTGTTAATATGTATGTTTTTATGTAACCCTACCACATTCCAGAAAGGATTTAAAGGTTATCATCATAACTTCTATCTAAACTTTGTCCAACCTGCTTTCCCAGCCTTTCATTTCACTCATTCTGCTCTTAGGTGAGAATTTGTTACTTGGTGTTTGATTTTCCTTCTTTATGGCTTTTTAACTTTCTTCCAGGTGCGCCATTTATATGATACTGGAGAAACAAAAGATATTCATTTGGAAATGGAGAACCTGGTAAATTCCCGAACTACCCCAAAGTTGACTCGCAATGGTGAGTTCTGGTGATGGCCTTTTGAGATGCAGGTAACCTGTTTAGAGAAGTCTTAATTATTCATTGAGCTGTTAGTGTGTACAATACTGTGTAAGGCAGTGGTTCTTAGCCAGACATGATTTTGCCCCCCAGAGGTCATTTGGTAGTGTCTGGAGACATTTTTGATTGTCATGACTGGTCGAGGGTGCTACTGGCATGCAGGGATGCTTCTAAACCTCCTACAGTGCACAAATCAGCTCCCAGCCAAAAATAACCAATAATGTTGAGTTTGAGAAACCAGGTACAGATGCTGTTGGGAGAGAAAAAGAAAGAGGGAATGAAAACATTTGGGCACACACATGCCAGCTAGGTTTTGGGAGAAGACTTTATGGAAGAAGCAGTAGCATTTTAGCTGAGTCTTATGATATTGCTAGGATGCAGTGATAAAGATAAAGGCCATTCCATATTCTTGGGATATTGAAGGGCCCCTGAAGATTTGTTTTAAAGGAGTATGACATGAGTATACCTATATTTGTAAGATGGGATGAAGAAGGGGAATGCCATTGCAATAGTCAAGCTAACAATTGTAAAGGCCTAAATCTGGTATTGATGTTGAGGATGGAGAAGAGAGAAGACAGTGGAACATAATTAGAAGAACTTTGACTTTGGGGCCAGGCATCACTGGGTCCCAGTCAAAGATTTGCCATTTGTAAAGTGACTGGGCTTGAAAAGATTATCTAGCATCTCTGAACTTTGGTTCCTTGTCTATGAAATAGGGGTAACAAACACCTACCTCAGATTATGGTCACGAAGATTCTGTGACATGCATTGCTTGTCTATCACGACACCTGGCATATAGTGGGTGGTCAAAATGGTAGCCATTTTGTCATTCCATGATTAATTATGTGTAAGAGAGAATATTAAGGAGGCAGGGTCCATGAGCATTGGCAGTTTGGTAGCACTATGGGGTCAAGAGTTAGTTGTGGATGGCGCTGCCATCAATCCGAACAAGGAAATGGGAAGGCGAGAAGGTTTGAGTTCTGTTTTGGACATTTTGAATTTGACATCCTATTGGGATATCAAGGTGGATGTGACAGCCATCAGGCATTGGAAATGTTTCATCTTCATCCACTGGGTGTCATCTTGAAAGCAGAGAGTTTATCATTGTTCACTATTATCTTAGAGCTTGGAATATTGAAGTCACTCAATACATACTGGATCGAAAGACTTAAAGGAAACAGGATTTTTATATGTGATTTTTATCTCATTATGTTTACAAATCACTATATAATTTAGTATAAAGTTAGATATTTTCAGCTCTATATAGTAAAGAACAGACTTTCTTGGACACAAGAGTTTACAAATTCTTCTAAATGCTCCATATCAGAGCTCTTCTAATACAATTAAGAACAACAGATTTCTTTTTAAAGGTTCTTTATGTTTTGGACAACATATGAACTAGGAAACATTCAAGCGTATGTGTTTACATATTCAGTTTTCAAGATGTGATCATTTATAATACAGAGCGCCAAGCCTGGCCTGAGGAATCATTCTGGTCTAGGGTCCTTGGCCTTGCCAGTGTAATCCTGCAAATTGCTTGTACCTTGGAAAGTGTAAGAACAAGGCTTCGTGTACTATTGGTTTATTTTAATATGCTGCTAGATAGAATGGAACCTTTTCTACTTTAATCCTCCCAGTGTTAACTTTGAAGGGAAGGAGCTTCCTCAGCTAGCTAGCTGCCTAGCAACTCTCCAGGGAAATAGAACTGTGGCCAGTGAGGCGACAGCTCAGTAGATGGCGCTCTCCCATCTTAGGCAGTATTCAGGAATGCTGCAGGGACGAAGGGCAGGAGGAGGAGTAGGTCCAGATCACCCCCACCGTGAGTTATCATTCTGTTGGGAGGATAGCCACTGACCTCAGAGTCTGGGTAAATTGGTAGCTTCTCATCTTCCTAAAATTGCACTGAAAACCAGTTATCCCTACCTTCAGTAACTTTTCAAACTGGGTATGTGTACTACAAAGAGTATCCCATATTAATCCTATAGGTGACCATACTTCCATTAATAATTATTTTGTTGTTTTAGAGTCTGTAGCTCGTTCAAGCAAACTGCTGGGTTGGTGCCAAAGGCAAACAGATGGCTACGCAGGGGTCAATGTGACAGATCTCACTATGTCTTGGAAAAGTGGCCTGGCCCTGTGTGCGATCATCCATAGATACCGTCCTGATCTGATGTGAGTCGTGACCAAACGTGTTTTATTTTATATTCCCTAAGGAGCTCAGAGAACCCTGCTATCAAGTAGCTAAATTTTGTTCTTTTTTCCTAGAATGAGAATAGTAGAATGAGAATAGTAAGATTCTCTAGAAAGCAGTGATTAATTTTGATTTAGTTATATTTAAAACTCTGAATGTCGAGCATTATATAGATAAGCCAGAAATGATTAACTGAGTTTTTAAAATCAGAGCATTCTGAAGGTCAAAAACTCGTTTTAACACTCACCTGGGGCCTGTTAACTTCACACAAAGGAAAACTGTTTATTGGCTGCAGGTTGAACTCTTTCAGCCAACTATCTCTCAAATGCATTGGTCATAAGGAAAACTTGGCGAGAACATTTGGCTGGCTGAAGGCAGATGTCACTACCAACATAACAGAAAACAGTGAATACTTACCCAATTTATGATGGTTGATTGGTATTACCTCTTTGTTAAGACTCTGCTTTCTGCAAATATACTCTGTCAAGCCCACAAAACTCAGGTCGCCTCACTCACCTATACCAGTAAACATCTCTTTTGGTCATTCTTTACTCACCTAAGTGCAGAATCAGTACAAAAGGGTGACCCCAGGTCAACTGCAGTGACCAGTGCTCTCAAATTTCTCCCTTGGGCATTTGTTACTGTGGAGCCCAACAAGAATATTTGGAAACAGAAGCAGAGCATGTTGAATTATTTTGGCTGTTTGTCCTTTTATCATTAGGTCCACTTAAGGGCCCAATTTTTGTGGGTTTGTTTTGTTTTAATGATCACTTAAGGAATCCTAAAAGACTGTTCTTATTTATATTAGGTTATAAGTTAATGAGGCAAGAGCTATAATAACAGCCTTGTATAGTGTGGTTTAGGAATGGGGATTTCTGATTTGCCTGGCTAAAGGTAAGTGATCCCCATGCTCTTCTCCCTCAGTTCATGCTTAGTTGGTGAAAAGTAAGTGACAGTAGCGTCGACTCACCCCACCAAAAAAGGGGCTGGGGATGATGAGAGAGCAGCTTGAGAAAGATTGTGAGAAATGGCATAGAAGTGCTTTAGAAGAAGGGCCGGGTGACTCATTTCTATTCCCAAGGAAAGGCAGGGAAAAAAAAGATGAAGGCAGAAGTAACTGAAGAAAACCCAGCAGGTGGGGTGGAGAGGTGATTATGGAGCAAGGAAACACAGCTCTGTTAGAATGGACTGAAGGCTGCCTGGAAAAGGTCTAGGAGATTTTCTAGGAACAACGCAGAGCAGTACACAGTATTGGTACTGTTTAGACTATAGTGACTTCATTCGGGATGAGGCCTCCTTAATCTACAGAGAGAGGAAATTTAAACAAATGAAAAACTGCTGTGGAGTCAGTAGTTAACACAAAGTAAGGCCTGTCCAGTTAATCTTAAATCACCTAAAGAAGAATGCTCTCAGTCTTTACTTAATTGAATAGCAAGAAACTTGAAACCCATTCGGAAATGTTTGTTAATCTAAATACTTGGGAAAACTAAAGAAATTTAGTAATCGAAAAATCTTCTGAGGGAAGTTTTGGAATTTCCTTTCCAAGTAGAAGGCTGAGCAAGATTTATCATAGCTGATTTAGTACATCAACAGCTTGTGAGATCCGAAGGATACTGTGAGTAGTAGTCCCAGGCCTTTAGAAGCAGTCTGATCCAAATAGAATTTTTATCATTATTGAACATTAGCTTAATACGTACAGGTTACACACAAGATGCAAGAGAATACGTATTAAAGGTAGTTCCTGACCTTGAGCTTACATTTTAATAAGAAATTTATGTTCTTAGAAAAATGAAGGTAGTTTTTTTAACTTTCCTCCTCTTTTTTCCTTAATGGGTAGATCTTTAATCATTCTTTCTTCTTGAGGGTGATTTACATTTCAGTTTTGCCGTCAGATTTCAGTGAGGCACTGCCCACAGGATTTTAGCTGAATGACCAAGAAAAGATGGTGACTCCATGATACTGTGTTTTCTGGTGTGGGGACAAGCAACCCATCTTGATACGTTTTCCTCATCCTGTTTCTCAGAGATTTTGATTCTTTGGATGAGCAAAACGTGGAGAAGAATAACCAACTGGCCTTTGATATTGCCGAGAAGGAACTGGGCATTTCTCCCATCATGACAGGCAAAGAGATGGCCTCGGTCGGGGAGCCTGACAAGCTGTCCATGGTGATGTACCTGACCCAGTTCTACGAGATGTTCAAGGACTCACTCCCTTCCAGCGGTAAGGGCTGCAGGCGCTGGTGTGGTAGTCCTCTGTGTCCTCTGCTGTTACCTGGTTTTTCTTTCTTTCCTTCTGAACATGTCTTTCATCAGTACCCCCAAAAGCAAGTCGTGCTTACTCTGTTTTTACTGGTCAGCTATCAGGGTAAGTCCCTGGAACTTTGCCCCATTATTTTTCCCTTCTCTATTGTTGTGTTCTCAAACACTCATTCTTTCTCAGATCTTTCTAACTATCTATAAATGTGCAAAAATTATTCCTATCCAAAATTTTTTCCTTAACTCCACCACCTTCTCATACCCTTTCTCTCAGAACCAACCTTTTTGGAAAAAGTGATTTATGCGCTACTTCCTCACTGCCTGAACTTTGTAACACTTTGCAATCAGGCTTCTGTCATTATTGCTCTGCCAGATTGTTCTCCACAGTCATTTAGAATCACCAAATCCACGTTCTTCAATCGTTTCTCATCTCTTTTGCACTTGGCTTTTTGCATTATTCAGCACTATGGAATGATGTCGTTTTTCTTGAAAGACCCTTCTTGGCTTCTGTGATCGTGCACTGGACTGGCCTCATTCTCTTTCTTTTATAACTCTTCCTTCTCTGGATTCTCTTTCTTTCCTACCTTTTAACATTTTCCAAAAGTCTTTCCTTGACTCTCAGCCTGTCAATGTGCTACCAAAAAAAATGTTTCTCTTGGAGTAAATATAGCATAATGCTTAAGAGTGTTAACCATGGTGCCCAACCTGGGTTTATGTCCCGGTACTTCCACCTGTTCGACCTTAAGCTAGTTACTCAATCTTCCTGTGCCTCAGTTTCCCAATCTGTAAGATGGAAAAAAAAATAAAAAAAATAAAAAATATATATATATATATAATTAGATTATGATATGCTAAGAATAATGTCAATCTAAAAAATAAAAAAAATATATATATATATATAATTAGATTATGATATGCTAAGAATAATGTCAAATGGAAGCACATACTAAATGTTAACAATATATTGTTAGTTTCAATTATTATTTTTAAAATGACTATTGTTACTAATAAAACATTGGCATCCACAGTTTGTGATTCTTCAGTGTCTTTCAGCCTGTGTACTCTCATAGATGTCCGTGGCTTTTTTTGATTAGATATACAGTTTTAACAACAGAAATCTATAACTCTACATTAACATACACATTCAGGGAGCGCTCCCATTAGTGTGCAGCTATGTGCATGGCGTCTGCATACACCAAAACCAATGACTTGAAGCTACACGACCTCCCTCTGCCCTGAAATTTTCTTATCATAAGGATGAGGGCTTCAGCACTCGGCTATAACTAACAATCACAGATGGATTTCAGCTTTTGAAAA